ATAGGTTAAGTGCCGAGCGTTATTAAACTAAGCAAGGGTTAGCAGGTTAGTCCTCGGCAGTTGTCGAAGGTCTAATTGCTTAGCTAGGCGATAGCTAATAAGGGCGCTAACTAAATTCCCGGGGTCTAGTATAACCTTTGCCTTATAGTTAGTGTCGGGCCTAGATATAAGACAGGTACGTATAATAGCTAGTATAATGTCGATAGTCTTACGCCGTATAAGGCTAATAGTTAGTACGGCGCTTACTCTTTTTTCGAAGGTTGGCCTATAGGGGTAGCGTTAGCTGCTAAAAGGTGCTTTCGGTGTTTAGCGGTAGTACGGTCGACTCGGGCCTAGTCTCGGGGCCTATTACATTAGCCTAGTAAATAAGTAGTGCTATTATAATTAAAGCACTTGTATCTAGTTAGGGCACCGCTAGGTCCGCTCGAATTAGTACTAGAATTAGATGAACAATTAGGGGTATATAGAAATAAGCCCCTTCCTTGTCCTCTTCCTCGCTAGGGGTTTCTACCGCGGTATCGGCCCCTGCCTCTTCTACGTTAGTCGTTACTGTTTCTATTGTTAGCAGTGTTAGTTTGGGGAGTACCTCCTTAGTTTCTACCGCGGCTACGGTTAGTAGATAGTCGTATCTTGGATTCTAACCGTTGCTATAGCTGTACTATACGCTCTATAGTCTCTACTTTAACTATAAATTAAATACGTATAAGATTGGCCTGTTCGAACACACGGCGGCGGTCTAATTCAAGGACTAGTTCCTATCTTAGTTTAGGTCGTATCTCAGATATCTAGATAGAGTCGGTCTTAGGTAGCAAATCGTCCTTAAGGGTCTTTAGATAGGCCTCGAAGGATCGAGAGGTTTAGTCGGCCTTTTGCTTAGCACGTAGGTATTAGTCTTAGGCGTGCTACTAGCGCAATATAGGGTTGCTAAGGGTGTTTAGCATAATAGTCTTGTAATCCTGCTATTAAACAGCGGTCTAGTCGTAAAGGGAATCAAAATGGTTATCCTATATACGTTTTAGGTCGCTATTAATGTACTGCATAGCGTGTACGACTAAGGAATAGTCGTCTAGTAGCGCTCTTAGTGCATTGCGCTAGTTTAACTTACAATTACGTATATAATCATTGTACTGCTTGCGGCTAGAGCTATTAAACACGGTACAGTCCTTAAGTTTAGCATCCTTCTTCTAGACAGGTAGCGAGGAAGGTCCTACTATTAGTTCTAGTCTAGCAGTAGTTGTTAAGGCTTCCTATAGGCGGCGAATCTCGAGGAGATTATCCTTTAGCTATTGTTCTTAACGCAAGGTAGTAAGCCTGTTTTAGGTAGCTTCTTAAAGTCTCGCTACTAGCTAGGGGCTAAAGGCTAGTTAGCTATATCGACGGTTGACAATATTGTTAAGAATATCGTCGACAGGCAATTCTAGGTCGTTACCTAGAATTACAGGTTCTTCTTTAATAGGCTCTCTAGTAGGCTCTTTAGTAGGAGGCACTTTAGTAGGCACTTTAGCGGGAACTGTGCTACTAGCGTTGTTATTGCTAGCGCTGCTAGCGGCAGCACGGTTATTGTTGCTTCGTAATAAGCCGGCTATTATAAGGGGTAACACTAATAATGTATTATAGGCCCCTAAGATACGGATATAGCGGAGTTAGTAGATATCGGCTTAGTATACTTAACTCAGTATAATAGGCCGTATAGAAGGCCTTACTTAATAATTGGTACGGTTGTTTCGATAGAATAGTACGTATAGGTCCCGTTTTTCGGGCGCAATATAGTTAGATTAGTCTTGTTCGTAGCTATACCGCTAAAAGCTTGAAATAAGGACTATCTAGCTACTACCCTTAAAGGGTAGATCGAATACTATATAAGAAGGGTTATGTTAGCAAGTAGATAGGGTAGTAGTGAATTAGTGTAGTATTCGATAAGGATCTAGGAGGAGAGGGAGGAAGGTAGGAGAGTTGGCCTAACGCTAAGCGCTAAGCCCTGCCTAAGGCATCGAGACCCTAGCTTCACTCGACCTAGTTATATACTAATTACGTATAGCCTCTTTAGCCCTAACAAGGAGGCACTTTAGTAGGCACTTTAGCGGGAGCTGTGCTACTAGCGTTGTTATTACTAGCGCTACTAGCGGTAGCACGGTTATTGTTGCTTCGTAATAAGCCCGCTATTATAAGGGGTAATACTAATAATATATTATAGGCCCCTAAGATGCGGATATAGCGGAATTAGTAGATATCGGCTTAGTGCGATTAACTCGGTATAATAGGCCGTATAGAAGGCCTTACTTAATAATTGGTACGGTTGTTTCGATAGAATAGTACGTATAGGTCCCGTTCTTCGGGCGTAGTATAGTTAGATTAGTTATTATAGCTATACCGCTAAAAGCTTAAAATAAGGACTATCTAGCTACTACCCTTAAAGGGTAGATCGAATACTATATAAGAAGGGTTATATTAGCAGGTAGATAGGGTAGTAGTAAATTAGTATAGTATTCGATAAGGATCTAGGAAGAGAGGGAGGAAGGTAGGAGAGTTAGCCTAACGCTAAGCGCTAAGCCCTGCCTAAGGCATCGAGACCCTAGCTTTACTCGGCCTAGTTATATACTAATTACGTATAGCCTCTTTAGCCCTAATACCCTAACCCTACTTACTCCTCTATCTTATCTCCTACGAAAAACAATCCTACCTAACTTACCTCTTCGAAGACGAAAACGATGCCTCCCGTAATACGTCTCGAAGTAGCTTCGACTTAATAATAGGGAAATTTCGCGCGAGTAATAAAAGAAAGAACACGTAGATTTTCGAGAGCGGTATAAGAGTTTAGAGTTACCTAGGGGTTAAGGTTAAGGGAGTAAGTAGGTAAGGGAAGTTTGTAGGAGTGTTCTATAAAAAAAAGGTAGGTAGCTAGGTAGGAGGATATATAAAGCCGTAAAGCACTATTAATCTGAAAAATTAGGCACTCTCTTTATGCAATATTTTATACTCGGCACTCCTAGCTAAAGAACCGAGTCCTAGAACTAGTAATATAGAAGTCGACTATATGATCCCCGCTAGGCTTTACCGCATTCTAGAGAACCTCCTCGATCCCCGACCCGATACTATAATCGATTAAGATCTCCTTAATCTAAAGCCCGTATCTAGCCTAAAGAACATCTAGTTCTTCTAGCATTCTAGCTTCTAGAACATATACGGGTATATATAGAGAAACATTCGCGCTTAGTATAGACGCTTCTTAAAGTACGGATAGGTAGTCCGGGTTATCGATCGCGTACTAGGCTCGCCCCTAAACGTAGCTAAATTTCTTAATCTTTACGATCCGAAGACTTTCCCGAAAGCGTTTATCGATAGTACGATAGGCGGAGACTATGCTCTATAGCACACTAGCGACCTTGTTTAGTAGCTATTACTTCTTAGGTATAGCGGCGTTTATACGGATATAGGATTAATATAGATTAGTAACCTTAACCGGTTGTAGAGTCGGACGGTTAGAGATCTATTATTAGGTACCTCGGAGCCTAAACATAGACGATATATCTTTCTTCTACGAGACATCTACTAATGTTAGTTATAGGCTAGGAGATCCTCTCTTATAATATAGGTTCGAAACGGGATTACGCTCCTACGAACTACTTTCTTTACTCTAAGCTAAACAACGCCCTCTTTGCTCGGTACTAGAAACTGCTTCTTAAACTCTAGGCCGCAGATAGCGGCAAGGTTAGTACAGATAGGATATACGCTAGTCTACTACTCTAAGGCGTCCTACTCCTAAACGTTAGTTGCTCTTTTACCGAAAACGGTAGAACGTATAGCGAGGAGGAAACGGCAGAAATGCTTATAGACTACATTATTTAAGGCTAGGTTATAACATTAGTAATAGGCCTAGTCGACGAGGAAAATTAATAGAATAGTCCGGAATACACTAAGCAGCACATCTACGCTATTAAATATATAGAAGGCTCCTAGCTAATTAATCTATATACTAACTAGGGTAGACTAGAAGCATTTCGTCTAATATTATTATCTCTACCGAAAGATCGGGAGATAGAAAGCGAGGACTAGAAGAAAGTACGCGAGATTGTCGAAGGATGTCTATTAAGAAGTTTTAGCTTTAAGCTTGCTTATAGCATTATTCTTAGAGTTATTAGCCCGACTCTTAGGTCTTTATAAAGAAGCTATCCGGGATTAGATATCGTTCCTAGTACGTATACTAACTAGCTGCGACACGGCATAATTTACTAGAATTAGGACGCACTTCTAAAGAAGTAAGAATTCGAGGCAATCGAGCCTTATAAGCGCGGAGCTTTACTAAGGGAGGCTTAATAAATGTCTCTCTAAACGAAGCCCTATACCCTCTTTTAAAGTTAGGGCGATATTTTTATACCCTATAGAAGAGCCTCCGATCCCTCCGACTACTATTTTATCTAATAGGAGAAGCGGACGGCGGATGCTATTACTACTCGGTTCTTAAAAGATAGTCTATAAATACTAAGTAGTACGCCTTATCGACTTTTATAGAGCTTATAATCGATTGCTTATACTATATCGACTATAGGCCGTCCTTAGTTAACTTAGCTATTATTAAAACCTAGGCCGTGTTTCTTTTTTCCGGTTTAGTATTAGCTATAAGAAGAGCAAGTATAGAAACTAATTTTTCTATACTCTACGTACTCGATAACCTTCTCCGCTTTATTAATAGGGCTTTTCCCTACGTAGTCGACTACTTCCTACCGCTCTACTATCGTATAAAGGGTACTATATACCATTCCGTTTTCGTAGCTTTGCTTTATACTACTATCCGAGCCGAAATTGCTACTTCCGACCCGGTTAGTAGCGTTCTAAAAACATAAATCTAGCAACCTTACCTCCCTCTACGCTAAGCAGGAACGCAATACTAACTAGAAATTAACATCCTAAGAAATTCGAATCCTATTATAGCCGTCGATCAAACAACTATTATCTTCGTCCTAGGTGCCTAGCATCGACCCTAAGTCTTCCTTCTAACAACCAAACTCCTCGAAGCCGCAGGCTACAACATCGTCCTTATCGACCTCCCCTCCGTCGGCCCCCCAAAATATCTCCCCAACATAGACGCCGACGTGCAAGAAATCCGAAAAAACATCGAAAAAGCCGCCGACGCAGGCCAAAACGTCGTAGTCGTCGGCCACAGCTACGGCAGCATCCCCGCCTCGGAAGCAATCCAAGACCTCGACATAAAATCCCGTCGCGCAGCAGGAAAACCCGGCGGCGTTACCCACCTCTTCTTCCTCGCCGCCTTTATCATCCCCGAAGGCCAAACCCTAATCTCAGCCTTCGGCGGCAACGATCTCCCCTGGTTCCGCGTCTCCGAAGATAAAATGTCCGTGTGGCCCGAAGGTTCGGCGGAGATTTGTTATAATGATCTTTCGGAAGAAGAGCAGAACGCCGCGGTAGCGAAATTAGTGCCGCAGAGTTATCAGGTGATGCATTCGCCCGTTACGTATGCGGCGTGGAGGGATGTGCCGTGTACGTATTTGTACTGTACGAAGGACAATGCGATTCCGTGGCCGATTTAGAAAATGATGGTGGAGGAGGTTGCGAAGGGGGTGGAGATTCGGACGGAGAGTGTGGAGGCGGGGCATAGTCCGTTTATGGGGAAGCCGAAGGAGACGGCGGAGGCGATTATGAGGGCGGCCGCTGGGTTGGATTAGGCTGTGTTATCTGTCTGCACCTGGCGAGATGTGTATGTATATAGTGAGATTTTGAAGATTTAATGATCAAATGGTGTTTATTCTTCCTGCCTCTGCAAGAGCATGTGGCGAGTCTCTTCGCTGGTTGTCACTTGAAAGCCTGACGCACTCGGGAACGTTGTTGGCAGCAGGCACTGGTCGTATTGCGGTCCATTGGACTCCAACCCCTTCTCCGGCAGGCAGTTTCATGACAATCAATTGTGATCGTGGGGGCAAACATGTTGTCAATTATGTTCTATGACTCTCATGAATGATAAATAACCCATTGTTTCCACCAACTATCAGCAATCGACGTGTGGCCAGGTCACACAGCATCATCCCTCCTCCAAATACAAAAAAAAAAAACTCCCACCCTATAACTGTCTCCCAACTAACGAACCCTCCCCACCTCCCCCCCAAAAAATGCCTCCCCTCCCCCCCAACCGAGAATGGTTCCACACCGCAACAATCTACGAACTCTACCCCAGCTCCTTCGCCGACTCGAATTCCGACGGCATCGGCGACATTCCCGGAATCCTGCGAAAAATCCCGTACCTCGAAAAACTCGGCGTCGATGCCGTGTGGGTGGCCGCGTGCTATAAATCCGGGGGGATAGACATGGGATACGATGTGGAAAATTATCGAGAGATTGATCCGCAGTACGGAAGGGTGGGGGATGTGGAGACTTTGGTGAGGGAGTTGGGAAGGGTGGGGGTGAGGGTGATTATGGTGAGTGAGTGATGAGAGATTGCGCGAGGGGCTGGAGGGGCTGATGTTTTTTTGATTTAGGATCTTGTTGTGAACCACACTAGCTCGGAACATGCCTGGTTCAAAGAAAGTCGAAGCGGGCTTACTAATTCAAAGCGAGACTGGTACATATGGCGGCGCGGCCGTACAATCGACGGGATCCGCCATCCACCAAATAACTGGGCCAGCATTTTCCAAGGTTCGGCATGGGAATACGATGCCACGACAGACGAGTACTACCTCCGGACTTTCGCCAAACAGCAACCAGACCTGAACTGGGAGAACGCGGAAATGAGAAAAGCCGTGTACGAGGATATGAAATTTTGGTTGGAAAAAGGGGTTGCGGGTTTCAGGATGGATGTGATAAATCTGATCAGCAAAGCGGAAGGATTTCCGGATGCGCCGATCGTTGATGAGGATCGGGATGAGCAGTTTGGGGGTGGGTTGTATTGCAATGGGGCGAGAGTGCATGCGTATTTGCGGGAGATGAGGAGGGAAGTTTTGGATCGGTATGCGGGGAGCGTGGCGGTTGGAGAGGTGATCATCACGTCTTCGACGGACATGGTTCGGGAGTTTGTATGTCCCGAGAGGAGGGAGTTGAGTATGGTTTATCAGTATGATCTTTTTGATATTGATTGTGGGAAGACGGGCAAGTTCTCTGCTCGAGAGTGGAAATTGGGCGAGTTTAAGGGCTTGATCGCGAAATGGCAGAATGCGCTCTCGTACTCGAATGGCGGCTGGGCGACGGTGTGGCTTGAAAGTCATGACACTGGGCGGAGCGTTACACGCTTTGGTGATGGCACGGAAGCAAATCGCTTCAAGGTCGCGAAGTTACTGGCTCTGCTGGAGTCGACTCTCGGAGGCACCTTGTTCGTATATCAAGGTCAAGAGCTGGGTTTGAAGGCGTTGACAACAGATGTGCCGATCAAGGACTACCCGGATGTCGAGACTCAGAGGACGTGGGACGCTATATTCCGGCAGCGAAAGACGGCTTTGCCATGCAATGTCGAGCCCGATATGACCGATGTAGCAGAGCAAGTGCGGATCAAAGCTCGTGACCATGCTCGGACACCTCTGCCCTGGACTTCAGTTTCAGAAGCGCCGCATGCCGGGTTCTCCGACACTAAAGGGAAGACCTGGAGTCCGATGAACACCGACAGTGATGTGTGCAATATTGCGCAACAAGATTCCGATCCGCAGTCAGTTCTCAACTTCTGGCGCGAGCGCATCCGGATACGAAAGCAGTGTGCGGAGACATTGGTCTTTGGCGATTTCGAAGCCGTGCCTGACACCATGAACGACGGTCCGGTATTTGCATACTGGCGCAAGCCGCTGATTGACTGGACACGGAAAGCACGAGGTGTCCACCAAAAAGGCGATCGTGATGTCCTTGTGGTAAGTGTGATGCGAAAACTCCCTTCAAGACCGCCGCATGGTAGACAGTGGTCTGCCCAGAGTATCGCGTCCTTCCTCCGACATAATTGCTGACTCTTGACATCTTGATATTAGGTTCTCAATCTCACGCCGAGTGACGACGTAACCTTCGAAATGCCGCCCATCCCAGACCTCGCAAAGCACGATGGAATCTTGCCGGAATACTTCGCGCTGCAGGGTACGAGGTCGGAGAAGGCTGTAATGGCAGGCGGAAAGATCGTCTTGCGTGCCTATGAAGGCGTGGTATTCGGTTACTGAGGTCGGCCACTTCTTCACTGGATAGGTATAGCGAGTTAAGTAGCCAGTCTGAATACGGCGGGTGGTTTCCAAGATTTCCACTCGATCGTTCGTTGTGAAGAGTTATGTCTGGAACCCATATTATATCATATCCATCCCCTCCGCCCTGGACCTCTCTCCAGCATTACCATTACCGAACACCCTCATACGGTATCTTCTCCACAACCAAGGCCTGGAAGCTTTTCCTGCGTCTTCATACCGCCTCTTGCTTAAAATATCGCTGGAGTGCTCGAGCCCGGATTCGACCAGGACCGATGGGATCTGGAATTTTACCGCACGTGAAGTGTAGCCTGTAGGGAGGTGTGCGGCGATGTCAAAGTAAGGCGAGCATAGACGTGAGGTGGAGGAGCGACGGGAGGATCGAGGCTGCCAAGAAGACGGAGCTCCATATACACCAGATTGTTAATGAAGAATTCACAACGCAATCTTTGCCCCTACAAGTTCTTTTTAATATATCTTTTTATCTAGAGGAGTTATAGCTTAAGAATATAAGACAAAGATACTCTAATTTATGTATATTTTTGGAAAATATCAAAATTTCTAGTTAATGCCTCCTAAATTAATAAGCTATATAGCTATAAGGAAATAGGTATATAGTAACGTATAGAACACCCTCTACTAATCGCCGTAGTAGAAAGTAGAACTAAACCGTGCCTTTCTTAGAATAGGGCAGAGCGTTTACTATTAACTAGGCTACGTATAGGTAGTATATATACTAAGCTAGTAACCGAGTATATCTATACGAGCGACCGAGCTTTTCCGCGTATACGCTAAGCAGGCTTTGCGCTAGCGAGACAGCACCGTAGTATACGTAATAACATTATATAATTATTATATAGGCTTGCTAAGGTATAATAGGAGACTTTACTTACTTAGGTTCTTATAATTATCTCTTTCCCCCGGTATAGCTATCCTAGCTATAGGGCAATATAGTAAATTATACTATTTCTTACACTCTGCGCTATACTTGCGCGTCTTATACGCACCTATCGCTAGGCTATAGTTACTAGGCGCGTTATAATTTGCCTCGTAGTTGCTTATTTGTTTATAGATTTAAAGCGCGGCTGCTTCTAGCACTAACTAGAGGTTGCCTAAATTTCTAAGAACGCGGTAGCTACGCGAGAACGCAAGCTATCCGAAAGCGAGGCGAGTATTTAAAGCATTCGAAGCCCGCTTAAAAACTTCTTCTTTTTCCTAAGTGCTCCGAATACTACCTACCTACCCCCTATCTACTTCCCCCTTACGCCCCCCTAGTATTACTTAAAGATTTTTCTTTTTCGAACATCTATCTAAAAAAAACATTACTAGTATAGCTACTTCTTCGCGTACCTTAGGTAAGCGCGCCGTAGGCATACCGCCTTCGATACCTACTACGCCTACCTAGCGCCTTCTAAAAGTCCTAGAGGGCTATATTCGTTGCTTTAGGTATATAACGGCTAATAGTATGTTTTCTCGCCCCTTGCTACGCATACGCGCTTCGTAACTAACTCGCTTTAGTAGACCTATCTAAGCTCTATATAGGCGGTAATATAGACCCTACTACTAAGCGTAACTATAATCGCTACCGCGGTAGCTACTACCCTTATACGCCTATTACGGTACGCGCGCTAGTGTCGCTACTAGCGCGTATTTGCGCCGTACGCTCTACGCGCGACCTATACGACCTAGACGGCTACGACTCTATCGAGGAGTCTAACGAGGCCTTAGAGGCACTCTAGGCCGAGCTAGACGCTATAGTCGTACGTATATTCCTTATACGCTCCGCTTACGCTTCGTATACTAACCTCGATATTAGTTATCCTATCTACGCTCGACGCCTTCTATATTAACAAGAATAAGGTAACTCTAGGCGGTAAAGCCCTAGCCTATAAGGGGGCCGCTAGCGGGTCCCTTACGGACGTTAACCTATTAGGTGCCCTTAAGAACATTAGTACTAACTTAGCCGGCTTAGTAGAGATCGGTCGTTAGGTATAGTTTTGCCTATAGCCTCGTCTTACCTACGCTTCGTATACTAACTGTACTAGAACCTCGCCTAGTACGTCGGCGCTAAGGCCGTCGCTACTATCGATACCACTATAGGTATCGAAGAGGAGGACGAGGAGGAGGAGTCTAAGGATAAGTAGAGTCGGCGGCCCGCTATCGCCGTGCCTACGCGGCGCCTTCTTTATATATACTAGGCTAATAGGCCTTTTTTAGTAGCGAAACGAGTACGTATCTACTATTTTTCTTAAGTTTTATTTTCTTTTGTTTTAATTACTACCTACGCTTACGCTTCGCTTAAGCTTCGAACTCGTCTAACGCTATAGAATCTTTAATATAAATAGCTAGCTCCTAAGTGTTATATTCTTTAGGCTAACCTCGCTACTTAATAAGGTAGTACGCCTTCCGCTTCTTTATCTTCTTTGCTACGATTGTTTCTACCTACTACTTATCGCCTTTAGCGACAGGTATACTTACCTTATACTCCTTACTATCGCGCCTATACTAAGGCTCGAGGAGGGAAATATAGAAAACATTATAGATCTTCGTACTTAATAGTAGTACTAGGCGGTACGCCTACGCTCTAACTGCGTTAATAATGCGGAAAGGCCCTATATACTTCGGGCTAAGTTTCTTCTTTAGGATATCTAAGCTAATATTCTTTGTCGATAGTAAGACTAGGTTACCTATACTATATATCTTAGCAGTATAGTATATATTGTATTGCTTAGCCTAGTATTCTACTGCTTTCTGCTAGCGTTCCGCAAGCGTTTTATATACTTGTCGTAGTCGCTCCGTAGCGTCGATAGCTACTAGTACCCTTCCCTTAGTTAGCTCGTCCCGAGCTAGTAGCTTATTTACGCTCGGCATTAAATTAGGGTTAAAGCCGTAGAGCATTTTAAAGGGGCTTATACGCAACGTAGGATAAACGCTATTATTATAGGCGAACTCCGCCTAAGGCAACATTTTAGCCTAATTATCCTAATTCTTAGAGCAATAGTATCGAAGGTATTACTCGAGGGTCTAATTCGCGCGTTCGGTTTGCCCGTTAGTCTAAGGATAGAAGGCTATACTAAGCCTACGCTTTATATACGCTTCGAAGTAGAAGTCGCTCTAAAACTAGCTAGTAAATAGCGATCTACGATCGCTAATAATGCCTAATAGCGCTCTAAAACGCCTAATTACCTCCCTTTAAAGGATATCCGCGAGTTCTACTACTATATACTTCTTCGTCGTTAGGATAAAGAGGCTTATCTTTATATAGCGGTCGACTATTACGAGGATCGCAGTATATACGTAGGTACCGAGCTTACTCGGCGGAAGATCGGTAATAAAGTCTATTATTAATTCTTACTATAGTCGGGTTAGTATAGGTAGCGTAGCGAGCTCGCTATATAGGCGATAGCACTTCGCCTTCGACTGTTAACAAATTCTATAGATACGGACATAGGCCGTAATATCCTCGGCTATCTTCGGCTAGAAGTACTTTCGGCATATTAGGTCTATAGTCTTAGCTATACTAAAGTATCTAGCTAAAGGGTCGTCGTAGTATATACGTATTAGTTACGTACGTAATATATAGTTCTTAGGGATATATAGCGCATTACCGTAATAAATAAGGTTACTATAGCGTAAATAGCTAGCCGGGAGGTTAGAGCTACTCGAAGAGGCTAGGCTACCCGACAGTAACCTTGTCTCGTCTAAGCCTCCTCCTCTCGCTTACTCTAACTATTATAAGGTGCGTACGAAGCTAAGGATAATATTAGGCGTCGCGTAGTAGGGTCCGTCGTTACTAACGATAGTAGCCGCTACTCTTGCGGGACTACTAATAAAAGCCTTGCGCTCCGCTAGCGTTATAGTAGCGTCTCGCATCCCTACGTATATAATCGAGACGCGATTTGCAATCGGCTCGATATTGTCGGGAAGATTTAACTATAGAGCTAGTTTCGACTATAATATAGGGAGAAGGTTGTTTACCGCCTACGACTCGCTCTCGTAGTCGCTACGTCGTAAAGGCGTATCGGCTAGATTTCGCTTACTAGCCCGATGTTTAATAGTAAAGTTAAAAGATATAAGGAAGGTTGCCTATCTTACCTACCTTCCGACGAGCTACTTTATCTTTATAAAGCCCTTAAGATTAGCGTAGTCGATAACTACGTAGGTCGTATACTAGGCGCTATCGAGATACGGGCGCTAATACTTAAAGAACTCGACAACCGCTAGAAGCTCCTAGTTATAGGTCTTATAATTCGTCTCGGCTAGGACTATTTTTCGTAACTAGAAGGCAATAGGGTGCTAATTCCTATCTTCGCTCTATTGTAATATAATTCCTACTAGGGCAAACGTAGAGGCATCGGTCTCGATATATAGGGGCTTCGTAGGATTATAGTGTCGCAATATCGAGGCCGAGCTAAAGGTAGCCTTTAGCTAGCGGAACGCTTACTCCTCGCTTTCGCCCTACGGGACCTAACCTAGCTTCCGGCTATTTATAGCGCCTTTCGATAGGGCAGTTAGTAGTATAACGATTCGGGAGTAATTTAGGATAAACCTCCGATAGAAGTTATAGAATCTAAGGAAGGATTAAACCTCCTTTAGCGTTAATAGGCGAGGCTACTCGGTAATAGCGTTTACCCTACGCTAATCTATCGATACGCCTTCGGTACTAACGATAAACCTAAGGAATTCGACTTCTTTCTTCTAGAAGGAACATTTCTTTCTATTCGTATATAAGGCGAACTTCCGGAGCCGCGTAAGGATAGCGCGTACGTCTCGTATATAGTCCTCTCGCGTTTTGCTATAAATAAGAATATCGTTAAGGTAGACGATATAGCAAATATTAACAAGGCTAGCTAATGCCCTATTAATGTATCCTTAGAACGTAGCAGGGGCATTAGTTAGCCTAAAAGGCATTACCTTATACTCGAAGTGCCCGTACCGCGTGCGGAACGTAGTCTTCTACTCGTCGCCTCGCTTAATATAGATGCGGTAATATATATCCTAAAGGTCTAAGGACATATACTATTCGGCGTCCTTAAGCCTATTAAGCGTTTCGCTAATAAGAGGTAGGGGGTAACGATTTTTAATAGTAATCTCGTTTAGCCCCCTATAATCGACGTAGAGTCTTAGACTACTATCCTTCTTTAGTACGAATAGGATCGGCGTACCCGCCTCGCTTATACTAAGCTAGATCTAATTATTCTCTAAGGCTAAGCTTAGGTAATTACGAAGGTCGCTAAGCTCTCTTCCTAAAGAATAGTAGAGAGGTTTATATAGCGGCTTCGTTCCGGGGATTAGGTCGATCGTATACTCTACGTCTTCGGGGAGCTTATATCGCGCTTTAGGCGTTATAGTAAAGACGTCTTCGAAGTCTTTAAATTCTTCTAGCAAGGAGGAACCTTTAGCGATATCGCGGAGCTAGCGAACGCTAATCGTATATACGTATAGGGCGTTACGTATATCCTTCTAGAATTCTTATAGTTCCCGTATGCGTATCGAACGCGCTATAGCTTCGTTTCTATAGGTCTAGGCATCCGTCGAGCTATCGACGATTATCTTTTAATCGCGCCTCTAAGGCCTACTAAGAATAATATTAGGGAGGGGCATCTCGAAAGCGTAGAACACTCCGGTAGTAATACGTTCTTAGCCTATAGAGTCGGCGATCCGTAAGCGTAGATAATACGCTCCGTAGTAGTATCCTCGGTCGCTCTAGAAACTATCGGTACTAGGTAGTACGGCGTTAACAATCTGCTAAGGCTAGTATCGTAGAACGAATTCTTAAGATACTATATTAATATTAGTAGCATTATCTAATAAGTATTCGACGGACACTTCCCCTTCTTACGTAACGATTGCTCCGTATACGCGTCCCGTAAGTACTACTACTACTAAGCTACTTAGTTGAGATTCTATACCTATCCCTAGCTCTTAGAAGGTACCTTATCTTTTCCCTTAGCCTTCGAGTCGTTCTTCTTCTCTTTAGCGTTAGCGGCTACCTTACGTACCGTAGGGTTGTCGTCTTTCTAGAGATAGCGGTTCGAGTACGCGTTCTTATAATAGCCTTTCTAGCGATAGCTATAACATTCGACCTTACTAATATTATACCCGCCTTACGAGTTATCGCCCTTCGTATACTTTCCGCCTACGCTACGGTCGCGATTTGACTACTACTTACGGGCCTAACTATTAGATCGACGCTTCTTGCCTCTACTACCTCCGGTTTTATCGTAGTTACGATCCTTACGTTTGCTAGACAGCTTATTAGAGGTCTCGATACGCGTCGCAAGCTCTACGAGTTCGTAACGCGTCGTTAGTACCGTATAGTATTTAATAATCGCGCTACGAATCGCCGGCTAGAGTTTAACGAGGAGATAGCGGATCCTATACTCCTCGCTATAGTCGCTAAGTTAATCTTCGAGTACTACGAGCTTAGGGGCAAAGCTTTAGACTAACTGTCCCTTACGCTAACGGGCCGCCTTATACTCGAGGGTTACGTCTAGTATACGGTTTATAAGGTCCCCGACGCAGTCCCGATAGAAGGTTTTAAAGTCCTAGTAGGTATAATTTTACAGGTCCTTAAGGCTGTTTTTATTATACTATCGCTCCTACGTATCGCCTACGAGGTATATAACACTATAAAGCACCTTGCTTTCGTCCGTATAATAGGTAGCTCCGGATAGTATAAAGGTAATAGAAAGTTCTCGAAGGAATCGCCTCGACTCCTTAATAGTATCGCCTTTAAAGGGCTTAGGTTCCTTTAGGCGAGGCTTAATAGCCGCAAGACTAGCGACTACGTAGCTTATACTAGGTATAGTAGCTACGCTTAGTGTACTTCTAGAAAGAGGTAGTCGATACGAGATAGATTTAGCTCTCTAAGATTTAGGCCTCTAAATTGACTCGTTAGCTAATTCTTCCTCGTCCTCGTCCTCGTCTAGAGATAGAGTCCTCGTAGGACCCTCGCTAGTAGTGCCGCTACTCGGAGCTAGCGTATCGCCTACGTCCCTAAGGGTACGAAGGCGCGCATTCTCTCGCTTAGCTTCTTAAGCCTATACTTCTAGCCTAAGCACTTCTTACTTAGCTAGAAATCGTTCGAGCCGTAGGCGGGTCGCTTCTCGGCGCGCCTAATATTCGGCTTCGTTTTATTATATCGCTGCGTCGTTTTCTAATGCTATCGGCGCTCCTAGGGCATTATTCTGCGCGTTTCCCGCGCCTAGCGCGTTCGGATCGCTTGCGTTTATCTTTCGGGGTTCTATAGGCCGCTACGAAGGGTAGACGGTTTAGAACTATAAGGAAATAGATATATAGTAACGTATAGAACACCCTCTACTAATCGCCGTAGTAGAAAGTAGAACTAAACCGTACCTTTCTTAGAATAGGGCAGAGCGTTTACTATTAACTAGGCTACGTACGAGTAGTATATATACCGAGCCGGCAACCGAGTATGTCCGTACGAGCGACCGAGCTTTTCCGCGTATACGCTAAGTAGGCTTTGCGCTAGCGAGACAGCACTGCAGTGCACGTAATAACATTACATAATTATTACATAGGCTTGCTAAGGCATAATAGGAGACTTCACTTGCTTAGGTTCTTATAATAGCTTAAAACTCTAAGTTAGATATTTTAGAATTCTAGCGTTTTTTTAAGTCTTAATATACTATTTTCAGTAATCTAAAACTTAGGCGTTATAGTTTTACTTAATCAAAATTCCCTTTAAGATTTTCCTCGTAATATAGCTACTATTAGTTATATAATCTAGAATTTAAAACTTGAATCCTTTTTAGATTCCCTTTCGTATATCTTTTTCTTTAGGCGAATTATAGCTTAGTAATATAAGACAAAAATACTTTATTTTTTATCTAGTATTAGAAAATTACTAAAATTACTATAGCTATCTACTAAGATTAGCCTAAAAGTCTAGAATTAAGATTTTAAGATTTTAGTATTTATTAAGCCTTAGTATACTATTTTTAGTAATCTAAAACCTAGATCTAAGAGTTTTACCTAGTATAAATATAGGTTGAGATTTTTATCTTTAATACGCTTACTATTAGTCTTAAAATCCTAAAGCGAATATTCTTAAGAATTGTAGGCTTAGTAATTTAAAATTTATAATTCTTAAGAATATTGTTTTCTAAGTTATAAGACTATTTATAGCTTAGTTAAAGTAAAAGCTCTAATATAGATTCTTACTAGGTAAAACTATTAGGTTAAGGTTTTAGATTGCTAAAGATAGTATACTAAGGCTTAAAAAACGCAAAAGTCTTAAAATCTTTATTCTAGAATTTTAGGCTAATCTTAGTAGATAGCTATAATAATTTTAGTAATTTTCTAATACTAGATTAAAGCTAGAGTATTTTTATCTTACATTACTAAGCTATAACTCGTCTAAAGAAAAAGATATACGAAAGGGAATCTAAGAAGAATTTTTAAGTTTTAAATTCTAGATTGTATAACTAATAGTAGCTATATTATAAGAAAAATCTTAAAATAGATTTTTATTAAGTGAAACTATAAGGCCTAGGTTTTAGACTACTAAAAATAGTATATTAAGACAAGTTAAAAAAAACGCTAAAATTCTAAAATCTCTAACTTAGAGTTTTAAGCTATATAGCTTATTAATTAAGGAGGCAACGACTAAAAATTTTATTCTTTTCGAAAAAATATATATAAATTAGAGTATATTTGCTCTATATTATTACGCTATAACTCCCCTATATAAAAAGATATATTAAAAAGAACTTAAAGGGGCAAAGATTACGTTATTATCGCTACGGTTAGAAGTGCTATATTGACAATCTAGTACGTATAGGCCTCCCTAATCTACCTCCTAGTCGGTGAATTCAAAGTCCTCTTAAGGATAATACACTTCGAGACATTCGTACTACTCGAAGCAATATACGACATTCGCGATTTGAGATCGAATAGAATGCCTATTATCCCTCGCGTATCGTAACCTACGATTCCAAATAACTAGGGAGGCTATAGATCGGTACTTGCAAACAAGGAAGATTAAATTCTCGAGAACGAAACAAAAACAATTTTGCCACCTCTATACATCTAGAAGAGGATAAGAAAGACCCCAAACCCAAACCCAACGCCCAACTCCATGATTTCCCCCTTATTACAATAATCAAATGATTCAAATCTCCTCCAAAACCCTCCCCTCCCCACCCCCCACCGCAAACCCCTCCACAATCCCCCGAATCTCCTCCGCAATCTCCCTCGCCCTCTCATGACTAAACACCGTCTCATCGTACATCACCGCCAACTTATGCCTCCCCTCCACCGCCTTCGCCACCTCCACAACCAGCGCATAAGGCTGGTACATCCGGACCCGACTCTTGGCCAAAACCAACCACCTCCTCTCGTCGGGCGCACCGGCGGGTTCGAACGGCTGAAAAAGAAACAACGTGCGATTCCCGAACGCGTGGCGATCGAGACCCGCGGCCCGGTAGATGTCGTCGAGCCCGACGTTTCCGTGCTCGGTCATGTTCCAGAAGTTCTCTTGCGTGGCTTGGAGGAATTCTCGGAGGGTGGTGGTGCTTTCGTGAAGTTGGTGGCGGACGGGGAGGAAGTTGGCGAGCGTGCCGTTGATTGTCATGGGGTCGGGGAGGTCGACGTTGCGGCCGGAGAGGAGGTAGTCGAAGTTTACGTCGGGAGATTTGCTGGTGCGCGCGAGCCAGAGTTGGTATGCGGCCTGGAAGATGGAGGAGGGACTGACGCCGGTGGTGGAAGCGAGGGATTCGAGGTCGGTGGAGATGATGGAGCGGGTGGTGGCTGTGATTTTGGGGGAGGGGGTGGAGTGGAGGAATGTGTGGGTGCGTCCGGACATGGTTTGTTTCCAGTAGTTCAAGGAGGCGGCTTTTTCGGATTCGTAGATGTGGAAGGCGAAGTCTCGGAATTGGCCGTGTTCTGGAATGGGTTGGTCTGCGAGAATTGCTCCGAAATGGTCGTCGAAGATGCGCAACAAGGTGCCATCGTAGACGGCGTGGTTCAATTTCACCACGACATCGCACGAGCCGTCGGGATGTTTGAGCAAGGCGAATTTGATGAACGGCTTGCCGAAGACGAAACGGTCTTGCCAGAATTTTTCAATGAACTCTTCGGCGAATGTCTCGGACGGGCAATCGACGACCTCTAATTGCGGCGTGTGAGAGCGCAGCACGACGCCTGCCCACTCCTCATCGCTAACGGGGAGCCAGGATGTGCGCAGAATGTCGTTGGTTTGGATCAGTCGAGTTGTCGCCGATGTCCATTTGTCCATGTCAGTGCCAGCAGGCATGCGGCGAACCGTCATGAGCATCCACATCTGTTCTTCCCGGGATCCCTGACGGGCAAACTCCGCCTGGCCTGGTGGCGCTGGGTAAACTATTTGATCGGTCAGTCAAAGAATCTTTTACAAAGCGAGGAGCATATCTACTCACCATATTCGACATCTTCCGAGCTCAAGCCAGCCTCTTCCAACTTCCGTTCCACCTCGGGGCCCACCGCATACTGCTTTCTGCGTGCGGCATTGCTGCCGTCTTGCTGCTTCGGCTTCATGAGAGCCGCCATCTCGCTCAAACGTGGGCTTCTCAAGATATGGCTGACGCTGAGCGTGAATCCTGCCCTGCTAATGGCACTGGAAAGCGAAATCGCCGTGATGGAATCACCCCCGAGGGCCTTGAAGTCGGCCAAACGCCCGATCTCAGAGGCAGGGACGCCGAGGACGTTGCTCCACAGCTGCTCAAGCTTGGCTTCTGGGTCATTTGCAGGCGCGACGTACTGTTGAGCAGACTCGGCTCGGGACAGTGCATATTGTCGCAAAACACTGGCGTCAATCAGCTCGGCTTGGCTCTTCAGCGTTTTCCGATCGACCTTTCGGCTGGGCAGCTTGGGCAAGGCCCCGACAGGGAGTACGATGTTCGGAATCATGTAGGGCGTCAGTCCAGAGGTTGCCAGTCCGTCTCGAAGCAGTTTGAAGTCTTCGGCATGCTCATCAGCGCTCTGTATAGCAGTGGAGCCGGATTGAGCAAAGACACAGAAAGCTACCAGGCTCGGCTTGCCACTGACTTCTGTGACGATGACGGCAGCTTCCTCAACGACTCCCGTCTTCACGAGAGCAACCTCGATCTCGCCGAGCTCGATTCGATGGCCATGAATCTTGATCTGTCCGTCTTTACGACCGAGACAAGAGATCTCTCCCCCCGGCAGCCACCGTGCAAGGTCGCCGGTGCGGTATAGCCTGCCAACTTCAAGATCTGAACCATCCACGAACGCAGCGGAGGTCAGATCGTCTCTGTTGACATAGCCATCAGTCACCTGGGGTCCAGAAATGCAGAGCTCTCCAACAGCCCCGTACGGGACCAGGGACATTCCATTCGGGTCGACAATGAAAGCCATGACTGTCGGGAACGGCGCGCCGATATTGGAGATCAGATCACCTCGCTGAACATCTTTGGTCGTGACCACCATGCTCGTCTCGGTAGGGCCGTAGACATTCAGAATTTGATGATCTGGAGCCCACGCAGCCACGACATCTTTGGTCAGAGGTTCGCCTCCGACGATCAGCGTGGTCATGCTCGGCACTTCCGAGGGCTGCAGTAGCTTTGCCACCGTGGGTGTGATGATGGCTTGCTTGACATTCATGGACTGAATTGTGCCCGCTAGATTAGACAAGAGAACGTCTTGCGGTGCCATGCAGAGCGTTCCGCCCGTCGAAAGTGTGTTGAAGATGTCTTGAACTGACGCATCAAAGACATAGTTGGCGAACTGCAATGTCCTCCACTCACCGGAGCCCCGGCCTTCGGCTTCTTCCATACTAGTCACAGCGGCAGCCGCAGAGCGATGAGGGACCTTGACGCCTTTGGGCATCCCGCTGGATCCAGAAGTATAGATGATATACGCGAGGTGGTCCGGTGTGACTGAGATCTGGGGAGCCTCCACGTTCTCGGTGTCGAACGACATCTGATCGATGAGAACTGCGGGTAGACCATTTTCGGAGCAGAAATCCAAGTATCTCTCGTGTACGATCAAAGTTTTGGCTTGGACATCTTTCACAATGAAGAGATTGCGCTCGACCGGATTCTCTGGGTTGAGAGGAACGTAGGCTGCTCCGGCTTTCATGACCCCAAGAATGGCGACCATGGTGTCTATCGACTTGTCCAGCATTAGTGGGATTCGATCTCCAACACGAGCGCCAGTCTGGATGAGGTGATGAGCGAGGATATTGGCTCGTCGATCCAACTCTGCATAACTCAACTGCGTCTCGGCCTGCCAGTCAATGGCAATTGCCTCTGGTGTATTGACTGCATGCTGTTCAAAGCGGTGATGGAGCAGCTCCGGAGTCGGCACTCTGAGCGTGCTTCGATTGCTGAGAGCATTGTACAGATAGTCCTTCTCTTTCGGTCCGATGATGTCGACCTGAGAAACCATTTGCAATGGCTCTTGAACAATAGCGTCGATAGCAATGAGATACGAGTCCAGAATATACTGCAGTCGACGTTCCTCCAGACGGCCTGAAATTCGGAACAGGATCTGGCCATCTCTCTCCTCGACCTCCATGGTCGTGAAAGGATTGTCCCATTGCCAAGGCGGCCCGAATCGCTTGAAGACACGATCGGTGACCGGATCTTCCTCCGGGGAGACAAGAACATTGAGGAATGTATCGAATAAGTCCTGCTGCAGATTGGCTGAGGATAGAGCATTCCGCATACCGTAGTGCGCATGCTCGCTCAATGTCCTCACGTGGGCTCCAATGGCCCGAGCCACATCATCGAGTCGTGCTTCGGGATCTAATTGAGTACGTTGCGGGACCATTGCAAGGGTAGGACCGTCGATGCTGTCGATTCCAGAGACTGGTGTGTCCCGGCCACTGAGAGACGTCAGGAAGGTAACATCTGAAGTGCCGGTGTGCTTAGACAGCAAAATGGCCCAAGCAGCATAGAGGACCGCGCCGAGCGTAAGCCCGAGCTCTCTAAGCCGGTCTTGAAGGTCATTGGGCCTTGATACTGCAAGCTTCACCGTACTCGACGTCGGATACGGATTCAAAATGGTCGCCTCAGCGCCTGTGAGCTCCGTCTTCCAGAAGCGACGAGTCTTTGTATCATTGGTCTTGGCGATGTGGTTGACGTAGCGTTTGAACGGAGCACGTACAGCTGGTGTCAATCCAAAGTAGATAGCTGCAACGTCGTGGTACAGGAATCGGAACGACCAGAAGTCGAAGAGTGAATGATGCATGGAAACCACAAGCAGCCGCTGCGACAGGAGAGAAATGCGGAACAGCGGGCCATCCATGCTGAAGGGTTCTGCCTTGTCCTGTGCGAGGTAGCTGTCCAGATCCCGATCACTCCACGTCCATGGAAGTTGCATGTCGGATCGGATGGTTTGGAAGACAGATCTGCCATGTGCGATGAACGATGTCTTCAGGATATCGCTTCGTTGGAAGTAAGTCTCGAAGCTCTGCTTGAGTCTCTCGAGATCCAGGCCAGAGACCTCCCAAACACGACGATAGGTGTATGGATCATCCTTGGAGCCGAGCGAGGAGAGAAGATCCTGCTGTAAAGCTGTCGCTGGATACGCGTCCACAACGTTCGTGTCTTCGATTAGACTCCGACGCAGAGCACTGTCAGTGACCAATTCGAATGGCTGTGGATCTTCTTGTGTCTCGTCGCCAGGTAATTTCTCGTAGCTCACGGCGGCTTCTGCAATGGTCATATCGGATAGCAGCTCATTCAGGGTTGTCTGTAGCCTGTCCTTCCGCAGGGCCGCGAGAGCTTTGATGGCCTGTATCGAGCTGCCACCAAGCGCTACAAAACTGTGTTCGCGTTTGATCAAGTCCCGATCCACACCCAGAGCACTGGCCCACGCCGCGGCGATGGTCGTCTCCACAGCATCCTCGATCTGGCTACCTGCTTCCAGAGCAGAAGCATCCTGGATGAGTTGCTCCATGGTCATGCTTTCCACATGATTCTTGAATCGCAAGAGGTCCATTTTCCCATTGATATTCTTCGGAATCTCGTCAAGCCGCAGCCAGAAAGAGGGGACCATGTAGGAAGGAAGCTGTTCTTCAGCATGTTTGCGGACACTGGAAAGAGTCGACGTCCACTCTGCAGCGTCAAAGACGACCAGTCCAGCAACCAAAGTAGTGCGATCCGCCAGGTTAGCAGCAACAGTGATAACGTCTTGAACACTGGGATGCTTGAGGAGAGCAGAATTGACCTCAGACGGTTCAACTTTCTGTCCAGCGATCTTGGCTTGGAAATCAATGCGGCCAAGGATTTCGAACGACCCATCGTAGTTCATCCGTGCCAGATCACCCGTGCGGTAAAGCTTTCCGGGGCCGAAGGGGTTGTCAATGAAGACCTTTGCAGTCCTGAGGGGATCATTCAAGTATCCAATGCCGAGCTGTGGGCCTGCAAGTCCGAGCTCACCAGCGATTCCAAAGGCTGCGAGATCTGTTTTCCCCGGTTTCAATACAAAGGCACTGGTCGTATCTGCAGGTCGACCGACGATCCTTGGGTTTGAGGTGGATGTCAGGCGAGTGCCAAAATTGAGTTGCGTCACTTCGGAGAGACCGTAGGTGTTTCGTAACTCGACATGATCGGCCCACTCGGAGACCAGACTCTGCTGGATGCTTTCTGGAGAGGTGAAGATTTAGTTAGCCCATGCATTCAACTGTGTCTTCAAACCACCAACTCACCTCCAACCAGAGTGACTAGTTCTAAGCTTGGCACGTCCTGCGGGCGAATGGTGGACAATGCCGAAGGAGTGATACCCAAGCTCTGTACCCGCAAGTCCTTAATCAAGAATGCGAGGTCCTCTTGTAACCTTGACTTCGGTGCGATTATGAGTGTGCCACCATGGATAAGTGTTGAGAGCATCGTGCGCTGTGCGGCCGAAAATGTCGGATTATAGAAGAGGAGCCACCGTTCTCGACCATTCAGACTGTGATACGCCATACCGTTGGTAGCAGCACGATGGGTTAATACCACGCCCTTTGGCTTGCCGGTAGAGCCAGAGGTGTATATGATGTATGCTTTTTGCTCGGGTGAAATGGAGAGCTGAAGGTTGCAGCCATCGATCTCATGGCATTGCAGCCAGCAATGGGCGATGGCCACATCGACGTCGACTGTGCGCGGTAACATGTCCATGTATTGTTGGTTCGCAAGCACCGTGTTGGCCCCAGAAGCCTCGACAATCTGACGGTTACGTTCTGCAGGGCTCTGGGGATCCAGGATTGTGTAGGCGGCCCCAGACTTCAGGACAGAAAGCATGGCAACAATCATATCGATCGATCGATCCATGCAGATTGGGACAATGTCGTCTTTCTTGAGAGCGAGGTATCTCGCGAGCCGATTTGAAAGGCGGTTGAGCTCGCTGAAGGTGAGCTTTTCGTGCTGATCATTTTCGAGGGCGACCTTGTCGGGGTACTCTCTGACGGCCTCTTCAAACAGATGCACGATCGTGCTTGGATGTTCCCGCTTATTTGAACGATTGGTGCGCAATATCGAGACATGCTCCTCGCGGGAATCGATCTTGATATCGTCAATTGACGTGTGTGGCAGATATAGCTTGGACAGCGCATCGTCCAGGGCCGCAACGAAGTGTGACAGTAAGACCTCGGCCTCACGCCGTTCAAGCACCGAGCTGACGTCGAGTGAAAGCGATAAGGCTTGTCCTGATGATATATTGAGGACGAGAGGCAGGGTTGACGCGTCGCCATGAAAGCTGATGGGCGCCTTTGAGTAGTAGACGGAGGTCGGGAGAGGCCCCGGCAGCATGTGCTCGATCTCAGCATACTCCAGGAAGCTGTGGCGGAAGGCTTTCCGATGGAACGACTCAAGAGCCGAGACCAAATCGCCAAATTTCGCGCCCTCTGCAGCGCTCACGCGCACGGGATAGATATCGGCGGACGAGCACTTCTCGTCAAGGAGACTGCAAGCATGGTTGGCTGCACCAAAGACGATGTCGTCGGATCCCGTGTGTTGTCGAAGCACAATGGCCCACAGCGCCTCGAAGAAGATTTTCCGCTTGATGCCGTAGTCTTCCTCCACTTGCACCAGTTGCTTCTCCAATTGGTCGTCTTTGAGATCCGCAGTGATGACCAGGCGCTTATCAGACGTCGCAGACTTGTGTCCCGACGACCAGGTCGAGGAAAAGGTTTCCCTTCGCTCCAGGCCGCGAAGGCTGTCCGCCCAGAACTGCTGTGCCGCTTCGAAGCGTTCTAGCAGTGCCGCACGAATGGTAGCATATGGGTCTGGCAGCGACCCACTAAGCTGAGGGCCTCTCATGGTGGATGATGCTCAATGATGCTCGATGATGGGGATGATTTGTAAGTGAGGGCTCGCTACAAAAGATTTTCGCTCCTGAGGAATGGTGCTTGGTTTATAACACTCGCAGCCTGCCTGCCTACGGTTGCCACCATGGCACGACATGAGCCCGATGGCGGGAGCACGCAAGGTTGGAGAACACTACTCCTCGCCCCAACACACTGCAAAAAGCACCTGAGTCTTGTGCAAATGCTCACGGAAGTCAAAGATCCGGACAATCATGCTGGCGATCTGGACATCGAGGTTGTCCGTCGCAGCCTCGTTCTGCAAGCTAAGTCACATCACTGCTTCACACTGCGAGTGGACAGAAACTTGACCAGTGACACAGCTTGATGGCTGCTCATGTCTGTACGTACCGCATCTATCGGGCTGTGTCTCGAGAGCGCAGGCCTTTCGGTCCGAACGAGGACGAATGCACGCTGGCGATGGTCCCACAAGCAACGAGTCCTCCATCTCTACCTACGGATCACGATGTTTATCCAAGCGGTGGCAGACGATCTCTGTCTTCGGTTGGACGTATGAGCTTCAGCAGTATTGGCCCAACCTCCTTTACGAGCTTGACTGCGGGCCTCGATGTAGGAGTCGTGACAGGGAATCGAGTCGCCACTTCAGCTGCCCGTAATGTAGCTACAGCCCACCAGAACGGCGACATGCCCAGAATTATTCGCTTGAGCCCCATACATGTACGTAGACTGGGTCGTTGAGACACAATCAACGACCCAATGTGCAGATAGCTTCGTGCCTTTGGTGGAGATGCTTCCCTCCACATCCATACGACCAAAACGGTATAGTTGTTGTATTGTAGAAGATCAACGCGCGTGCAGCTTCCAGATGTCCGAGCGAGACGAGTAGGAGACGTCGGGACCTCCCCGTTGAGATGACGAAAATTCCAGGCAGCATCTGATGCCACATACGCGCCTCATCAACGACCCAGGCACCCAAATTCCCGCACCGTGAGCGCAAACACGCGAGTCAAGCGCGATCATACAGCCAGCGTCTGTACACTTCCGAGTGAAAATCATGACTGGGCGCAGACTGCTGCATCGCACGCTGCTCCTCGCTGTGGGCCTTGCTCCTCGAGGGTTTAGGAGATACCCACTTTCACCCCGAGGCGTTGCAACGCTGTCATGGCGTCCTTCGCACGGCCTACTCGTGTGAATCGAACAGCACCAGCACGTATGGCCATCGTCAGCGTAGCGTCGATGGAGCAATGGCCGTCGGCACGATCTCGCGGCTCTGCACATGGAATCCACGCTCCGATGACTGATGACGAGACGTCCATGTGGCACAGACGATGGCACGCTCAACATAAGCCCCCTGGTCAAACACATGGCCGCAGCTCAAGTTCATATTGGGAAGCTCGAGCAGGAATGCAAAGCTCCGTCAGTTGCCGGCAGGGCCATGCCAAGCCAGTGGTGAGAACTCTGCTACGGTACGGCCGTGCAAAGATCTAGATGGTAGCGTGGACACGGCACATGGCAGATCCCGGGCTCCGACCGCGTTGCCGAAAAACAACCACACGCGGCACTAAAATCCCAAAGCAATGGGACCGGCTAAGATAGTGGGCGACGGACGGATGGCCCGAGCCTAATTTCAAACGGTCCGGTGGTGATGCAATGCAATGGTTGCAGGAGTGAGATCCACCCTCGCCTGCCGTATTCCTGTGGGGCTGTCGAGGCTTTGCGAAGCATTACCAAGCATTTCCGTGACGGGGCAGTCCGAGCGTCCTTGGGCGTTTTCTTTTGTGTCGCCCGGGCAGATCTCTTCGCTCGCTTCTCTTCTCATACCATTCTGCTCAACACCCAACTCATTCTTCCACATTGCTCGACCAGAAACCACCACTCCATACGCTCATCGCTTATCATTGAGTCGAGTGTCGCAGCCATGGCCGAGCAGTCTTCAGAGGAAAAGACACGAACATCGGATTCATCCATCGAAGAGCAGCCCCCGGTGCCTGCAGTCAGTCCCCAATGCTCTTGCTCCATTCTTCACTTGGTTGCTGACGTCCCTCATCAGGTGGCTGCCGCGAATCCGCCTCCAAATGGAGGCTTGAGGGCCTGGCTGCAAGTCCTGGGCGCCTTCATTCTATTCTTCAATACATGGTGAGCATGCTCCACCATCCTGGCGTTGACAACGACATGTCATCTGATTGATAGCGTAGGGGCCTCGTCAACAGTTTTGGCGTCTTTCAGACATTCTACACCACCAATCTGCTCCGCGACGTTTCCGAGTCAGATATATCCTGGATCGGCTCCATCCAAGCATTCCTGTTGCTTATCGTTGGTGTCGTGACCGGGCCTCTCTTTGATGCTGGATACTTTTACCACCTGCTCTGCGGCGGAGGATTCCTCATCATCTTCGGCCAGTACATGACCAGCCTCTGTACAACATACTGGCAGGTCATGCTCGCGCAGGGCCTTGTCATCGGTCTTGGCTGCGGGTGTCTCTTCGTACCCAGCGTTGCCATTGTCTCGACTTATTTCACGAGTCGGAAATCTCTAGCGACAGGGATCGCAGCCAGCGGCAGCAGCATCGGCGGCATTATATACCCAGTCGTTTTTGCGAAACTCGAGCCACGTCTAGGCTTCCGAGATGCCACAATCGTCGTGGCATCGATAATGCTGGCAACAATGCTCGTTTGTATAGCAGTCATGCGCGTACGCGTCCTGCCACCCCAAAAGCGACGCCTACTAGACCTGAGCGCTTTCCGCGAGGTGCCATATACAGCGTTCAGTTTCGCCGAGTTTCTGGGTTTCATGGGCATGTGAGTATTTTCAACATAAAAACCAATCACCCTGTTGACGCATCTGCTGACATCTTTCAGGTACATCCCGTTCTTCTACATCCAGAGTTTTGCCTCGGCGCAGCAGATCACAGGCTCAAGTCTGGCGTTTTGGATGCTACCAATTATGAACGCCGCGTCTTCATTCGGGAGAATCATTCCGAATTTCTTCGCAGATAAGACTGGTCCTCTCAATATGCTGATACCCACTTCCGCGCTGGCGGCCGTCCTGGCATTCTGCTGGATTGCGGTCGATGGCCTCGCTGGACTGCTGGTATTCTGTATCATGTACGGCCTGTTTTCGGGCACTTTCGTCTCTCTCCCTCCGACTACTGTGGTCAGCCTCTCGCCAAGCTTATCGGTCGTGGGCACGAGGATGGGCATGAGCTTCTCTTTCGCGGCATTTGGCGTGCTGGTTGGCAATCCTGTTGCTGGCGCGATCCTCACTTCGCGAGGCTGGCTTGGTCTTCAGCTATTCTGTGCTTGCTCTGTGGTGGCAGCTGCAAGTGTCTGTGTGGTTGCGCGTTTTGCCAAAGCACCCGGCCTGTTCGAAAAAGCATGAAAATGCCATTTCTACGACAGAGCTGCAAGTAAGAGAGAAGCGAGGCTCGAAAGATCGCTTTGACGGGAGAAGGGACGGCCGTTCAACAGGACCAAAGCCCGGTCAGGGCTTGTCCTTTGACGGAAGAGCGATAGAAGGAGGACACACGAACTGGAGTACATAGCGAGTGGAGTACATAGCGAGTGGAGGGCAAGTACCGGGAACGGCAAAATTCGCATTATAATAGAAGTCTCGTTTTCCAGCTCATCTTGACAGCTTGGGTAAGATCTTGGAGAGACGGATAGCTCCAGGTAACCAGCAAGAAGTGATATGATGAGCCCAGTCATTTCGTCAGCCGGAAGTACGACTTCAATTCCACATGAGCACCGCAACCAGATCGTTGTATTGGATGAAGCACGAAAAGTCCCGATGGCATTTTCTTGCAGCATCATCGGGCATGGAAGCCCACGCTCCCGATGCCGATCGGTTGTCAAAGCCGTTCGGGATTGGAAAGCGGATCTAGCTGATGTGCCGTGTGCGTGATGATCATCAATTCTTGCATGCGGAAAGACTTTCGGATGTTCCAGCGTCTGAACACGTCGGAGGGCTAAAACGCTTAAGCTTGAGCAGCCAAAAGGCGATTTCAATTGGCAAAGATCCCTACTGGCCAAAATTGGGTGAGAAAAAAAGTAGCCTTCCGAGGTGTTCAGACGCCGTAGATCATTTTGACTCCTTGTGGGACCGGGCATATAGACAGGGGTGCAGAATGGGTCCACTAAGTCATTTGAGGTCCATCCCTGCAAGTCATGCGAGTGTGTGCGCAATATGTGGCATCTTTGAATGGCTCGATGTTCGTACCTGGTTTCGAAGCGTGAGGAAGTTCCAGCGATCGATCGTTGCGTCAGGTGGAGCCTGCCGGAGAACTAGCCTTGCAGAGGAAGCAGTGGTCCAAGGTTGAGATAGTACTTGGACTGTGCCCTGCATATGCAGAATGAATGGCGTGCGACAGCAGTGAGACATATTGACACTGCTGTAAAATTACGTCGCAGCAATATGGACAAGTCTCGGTCGTCGACTGGCAGCACGCGACGCAGTTGGGCAGCCAATCTTCGACATCTTCGACATACAGATCCGCATGAAACGAAAGCGAAATGCGACTTGGTGTCTAGTCCAGTCTACTGAATGTGGCGAGTCGTAATGAGCGATGTATAACCGCCATTCTGCAGGAACGAAGTCCCAAAACGTGGCAAGCTGGCTTCACACGCGGACCAATGCTAGCCAATGCAGCCTCGTGTCGTGAGGAGTGCAGACCAAAGCGCGCTGCCTGAATTGAAATTGGAGCATTGCCCATGCACCGCTGCGACCAGCCATGGCGCCGTTGTAGCTAGGACGCGTTGTCAGAGAGCACCTGCATTGCATCTTTCTGCCAGATTTGAGCCGAGCGGTAGAAGTTTTTCCAGGCCACGTAACAGGCCATATGGCTTAGCAATATTGATCAGAGTTGCGAGAAGATTCCATTCTCGAGGCGACATTGTGCTCTAAAGGTGTAGCCGTAGCGTTCGTCCTCTGTCCCATCACGATTCCTCGCAAATCCTGGAGTGTGCGACTGAAAGAACTGAAGCTCGCCCAACATGGCTTCTTGGAACAAGCGCGACATCACCAACGAGCATCTCCTTCCATACGTCGATTCCAATGATGCGTCACCAGAGGTCGCGTCGGCCCTGAACACGTTGCCATTTCAGCGCAACATCTTCAAGGTGAGTTGACAGGGCGGAAATGAAGGGGCGTTGATGGCGGAAGGGTACTGAGATTTCGCAGTTGCTTGCCAATGCTCCAAACCAAATGCCAATCTTCATGAAGCTTTTGAGCTCTTGCTGGAGTGCCGACAACTCGCTGCGCGCCACCGACTGGCAATTGGTTGTTCTGCGAACCGCGGCAACACTGAACGCGCCGTATGAGTGGGATGTCAATGCTCCAGTCGCTGAGGTTCTCGGCTTCACCGAAGCTCAGTTCAGCGCGCTCAAGGATGCGACCAGGCCGCTTCCAGAAGAACTGTTTACGCCACGCAAGAGGCTGTTGGCGAAGCTTGTTGACGAGGTCAATGCCAACAACATCGTGTCAGTGGAGAGCATGAAGGAGGCTCAAGGGGTGTTTGGGGATCGCGGAGTGGCCGAGTTCTTCTTCTTGAATGGTGTGTATGGCTTTTTGGCGCGTTTCATGAACAGCGCGCGCATCGACTTTGATCCGCCCATCCCGGGTCTGGAGGACATGTTGCGGAAATACAATGCGGCGGCCATCGAGAAGGAGAAGGCGTATACCGATTAGGTGGTCGAGGTCGGATGGTCAGGAGATGTCGTGATGTCAGATAGACTGTATGCAGTACATGTAGAGGATGCTTAAGCTTTCATCTCCGCCCGCTGCCGAGAACCTTCGCCCCTCGAATGTCGGGCCGCTGCGGCTTGGCAACATCCACCGCACAGCAGCGTGCACGACAGGCATCAAGGCAGCAAGCCAAGATATACCTCAGGCTGCAACACGTGATGGTCTGAGAAAACTTCAAACTCAGAAAAGATTCTCTTTGTACTTATTCACAGCACCACTACCTGCTTCTTCAACCCAAGCGGGCGTCGAACAGCCTTGCCCAGCGCCGCTCGCACTCGGGCCTCGAACTCTCCCACCGCCTCGTCTCCTCCCCGCCAAGCAATCGTCTCGACCTCGGGGGTCCTGAGGCGTCCCTGGCGCAGCAGGTCGACGAACCACGCCAATAGCCCTTCCACTTCCGCATTGCTGCGACTGGCGAGCTGTTGCGAGAGGCGGAAGTTGCGGAACTTGATCTGCTTCCAGAACAGAAGCTCTTGCGTCAATCGCAACACCCCCTCTCCCCCACCAAGCGACCCATAATTCACGAACGTCGCATTGGGGGCTAGCAGTCGCGCCAGGTGCTCGGCGCTGTCTCCGAACACCGCGTCGAGCGCCAGCACGATCCGCTTTCCTTGGACGGCCGCTGCCAAGGCTGCGTCGGCGGCGGGCCCATGCTTGGCGAGATCTTCCCCGGTGACCACGACGTCGGCGCCTTGAGCGTGGAGGAGCCTTTTCGCCGCTTCCAAGTCCCCCGCATCTCGCTCCCGCACCACCGCGACAGCATGGCAGCCACGCAGGCGCGCGAATTGAATTGCCATTTGAGGAATCGTGCCCAGGCCGGCATTAACCACCACCCAGTCTCCGGGCTTCAGAACGGCCGTGTCCTCAATCAAGAGATATCCCGGCGCGAATCCCATCTTCAGGAGCGCTCCTGCAATAGGATCGGCTTCTCTTGGAAGCTTGATGACTGATTTCCCAGGTAGAATCGCAAGCTCGCGCCATGTGCCCAGCCCATGCGAACGGGGTAGAACCAGGTCTCCCGGTTGAAGGAGATCAACACCGCTTCCAACACGCTCGATCCGAGCGATGCCGTCGTTGCCTGCGATTCGAGATCCGTCGGGATGTTGATATACTGGTTTGACGGGATACTTCCCGGCGATGGCCATCAAGTCCTGTGGATTGATCGGAAAGGCCAGGTAACGCACCAATACATCCTCTGATCCCAACTCCATGTTCGGGGTCAGGTGTTCGCATGGCTGTACTTTGATTGCTGAGGCGGCATCAGCCGACTCGGAGGAAAACGTCAATGCGAGCGGAGACATGACTGCTGGTTGTTTTGCTACTCTGGCGCAAGCGTTGAATGGGATGGTCTTTGACTGTGCTAACCGGCAATTTGTATTTTTCACACAATGATACCTCACTGCTCCGGTGTGATCGAGCCCTCGATCGCCAGCGGCATACCCTGCCAATCGGGACCCACATGGCACTTACGCCAAAATCGGCGAATTGTTTAGCCCTTCATTGCGACATCATCTGACGCACGCACTAACAGGGCTTGTCTGCGCTTGTCTGCACATGGTACAGCGACTGAACACGTTGGAGGGCTAGAACGCTTAAGCTTGACAAGGCAAAAAGAGATTTCAATGCGCAGAGATCCCTGCTAGCTATAATTTGGGGAGCAAACAGTAGCCTTCCGAGGTTTTCAGACGCTATACGTAGCACGCCTTACAGCTCGTGCCATATGGATACGCATAGAACGCTGTCTCAGTGCAGGCAGCTAACTCGCCCTTGCACGCGTAATCAGAAACAATTAGTCACGGATGTACGAAAGTCATACGTGCGAGAGGGAGTTGTGGTCTATAAAGCGTTTCTGTGAGTACCGTTGATCTCAGAAAATCATACCTCGCGCAGACCAATATGACCAACGACGTGACGACGACGACTCCCACTTGGCGAGAGATTGGCCGCAAGAAGCGTGAGCAGGTTCGTGCATCGCTTCCCACGCAATGGTGTCTTTCAAATGTCCCCTCCGCGCAAGAAGAACCCAATGCACTGGCTTTCTCCCGAACACATCTCTCTGCCAGAGAGATTGAGATCACAGAGCACTACTCTGCGAGCCAACTCTTGCAGCTCCTGGCAAACGGCAGCCTTTCGGCGACTGAAGTTCTCGAGGCATTCGCTCACCGTGCCACGATCGCCCATCAACTGGTGAGTTCGACATTCCTCGATCAAGTCAAAATATCTAACCGTAACCATAGACCAACTGTCTAAGCGAAGTCTTCTTCGACGAGGCTAAAGCTCAAGCTCAGCGACTGGACCAATATTACGCCGAACATGGCAAGCCCATTGGCCCGCTGCACGGTTTGCCCGTGTCGTTGAAAGATCAATTCCGAGTCAAAGGTGTCGAGACGTCGCTTGGATACATTTCGTGGCTGGGCAAAGTCGAGACCGAAGAGAGCGAGTCCTGGCTCGTATCACGACTCCGAGAAATGGGAGCTGTCCTCTACTGCAAGACGAATGTTCCTTCGAGCTTGATGGTGCGCATGCCCGGAGAAGGAATCAGGATGATTGGGCACGAACTGACTTCCTTCCCATACCAGGCTATTGAAACCAACAATAATATCATTGGGTACACCACCAATGCCCACAATCGATTATTGTCATCAGGTGGATCTTCGGGAGGTATGTCTATCATGCAAGTTCCGACGACGAAAAGAAAAATTGTGGCTGATCGATCAATTTCCGTCTCTAGGAGAGGCTGCATTGTTAGCCATGCGAGGAAGCATTCTCGGGCTTGGATCAGATGTTGGTAAGTACCTATCAACGACCCGTACAGATCAAACGTGGACTGTCAGCACGATCGACTAAACCATGCTCCAACAGGTGCCTCAATCCGCCAACCCAGCGCCTACAACGGCATCGTCGGCATCAAACCCACATCCACTCGATTCCCCTACCTAGGAATCGCCAACAGCGTAAGTTCCTCACCCAATCCCATCCCATCCCATCCCCAGTGATCTAACCCATCCCCCAACAAAGATGGAAGGCCAAACAATCGTGCGCTCCTCAATCGGCGTCATGGGCCACACCATCCCCGACCTCCGCCTCCTCACAAAAACCATCCTCTCTCTCGAACCCTGGAACTCAGACCCCAACGTCGTCCCAATCCCCTGGCGCCAAGAAATGGAAACACAAATCCGTGACAAGATCCGAGAGAAAAACCTCGTATTCGGTGTGATTCGCAATGATGGAATCGTCACTCCTCATCCGCCGATTTTGCGGGCGGTTGATGAGACGGTCGCTGCGCTGAAAGCGAATGGGTATAAGGTATGCTTTCCTCTCTCTCTCTCTCACTCACACATCGAATCACCTTCCGCGAAGAATCCGAAATCTGAAAACCATATACACACAGGTCATCGAAATCTCTCCACCCTCCCACTCCGAAGCCTTCCAAATCCTCTGGAACACCTTCGCCGCCGACGGCGGAACAGAAATCCACTCCACCCTCACCCAATCCGGCGAACCCCCCGTCCCCGAACTCGCAATCTCATACGGAGAAAAACTCGGTACGTCTCCCATTCCCCTCAATCCCCTCCCTACTAACATTCCTCCCCCCAGGCCACCTCCCCCCCACCCCCCTAAACGAAACCTGGACCCTCACCACGCAAAAACACGCCTACGAAACCCGCTACGCCGCCTTCTGGCGCGCCCACGACCTCGACGCGATCATCTGTCCCGCGGCGCCGACGCTGTCGCACAGACCCGGCGAGGGAAGGTATTTTGGGTATACGGGGGTGTGGAATGTTTTGGATTATTCGGCTGTGACGGTGAGGAGTGGACGAAGGGCGGAGAAGGAGGGGGATGATGGGAAGATAAAGACTAAAGAGGGTTTGGATGGGGAGGTTATGGGGCAGTGTGAGTGGATCTTATTAACCTTTTCTTGAATTGTGTTTTGGGTTGGACTGACTTTTTTTTTTACAGATGATCCGGAATTATTCGATGGGATGCCGATTGGTTTGCAGGTTGTTTGTCGGAAGTTTGAAGAGGAGAAGGTGCTTGCGATTGCGGAGGAGGTTGAGACTATATTGCTCGGGAAGGATTAGAGTCGAGTTACTCAAGCGGATTGAAGAAGAAGAGAATGTTTTCCATTGTTGTGTCGCTATACAAAATCCAAAAAAGTTCCCGAGTCGCTTCTATCTCCGCACATGCCAAAACGGTAAACCTCCTTCGCTAGGGGTACCAAATACAATAAATATCGACATTATCGTTCCGGCATCATGAGCGCTACACACTCTCCTTCTTCGGTGTCATTTCCGCGGCCTCCGCCGCAGCCTCCTCTTTACTCGAACTCTCTTGTCCAGGATTCGCCATTTCATATTCCAGCATCTTGATAAAGCGATAGAAACCAAAAGCTATGAAAGCACCAGCGCAAGGACCGATCCCTGCAAACAAAAAAACGTCAGTGACACTGACACGATGAGATGCGAAACGTTGGGGCGAAACTTACAGTAAATCCAATGTTCGGAATCCCAAACGCCGGAGATGACACAAGGACCGAAAGATCGGGCCGGATTCAGACTTCCGCCTGTATAATAGACACCGACCATTTCGGCGATGAAGAGGGCGAGACCGATACCGATTGGGGCCATGAAGGTTGCTTTGTGCTTTTCGTTTGCCAGCATGTAGATTGTGAAGACGAGTTCGGCGGTGAGGAGGGCTTCGATCTACGCTTTGGTTAGCTGGGGGATGATGGTATAAGTGAGTGTCGCACTACTCACAAAGACACCTCGGACGACGGATGTGCCGTCGGATAATGTGGTGCGCACGTTGAATGTTGTTGGGAAGAGTACGGATACGATGTAGGAGCTGAAGATCGCACCGCAAATCTGCGCGCCGACCAGCAAGACTGCTCGTACGACTCCTACACCTTGGACGATGACCATCGCGAGAGTGACGGCGGGATTGAATCTGCGGGATTCTGTCAGCAAAATTCTTTGTGTGGTGATGAGACGGTAACTTACAGTCCACCTGAAATACGGAAGAAGACCCAAACATTCACCATCAGACTGAAGCCGAATGATAGCGAGATGTAGAGCAGCACAATGGGACTAAAACCAGTCGATGCGTTCGTTGTGGTCTGATCTTGATTCCCGCTGGATCCGATGTTGGCGACTTGTGTACCGGCAAATGCAAAGAACAAGAACATGGTCGTCCCGAAGAATTCACCCAGTGTAGCGACGAAATCTGTTCGTAGTCAGTCAAAAGTCCTCTGCCCTACAACTTCGCTCGATTCGACTCACGAGCTTTCACGGATTTATTCATCCATTCGGTGAAGGGCAATCGATAGATGATTTCCGGCGGCGGAGTTGCGCTCTTCTCGCTTGGTGGCTTTCTAGCTCGTCTTCGAAGTGGTCTCTCGTCATCATCAGGGTCGTCGTCGTATTCCGAATACGGAGGCCCTCGTCGCGTGGGAGGACCGCGTCCGCCACCACCAACCTGAGACCTCCACTCATCCGACTCTCTCAGAGAACCCATGCGTCGGTGTGGTCGGTTGTAGTAGTCCGCATCTTCGCCCCAGTAATCGGCAGCAGCTGTGGTTCGGGCGGATCGCATGGTATTCGACCGCATGGGTCGACCGTAGTCATGAGGAGGGCGAGGATAGAAAGGACGTTCGTATTCGTCGTACTCGGTGGGTGGTGGTGGTCCCCATCTCATGACCTGCTGCCGAGAAGGATTCCGCTGAGGTGGAGGAGCTTGGCTCTGGCTATCGTCGCCGAAGTCGAATTCTAGACGAGGGAAGTGTGAGCCTTCCATATTTGAGGCATTGCTGGGTTTTCTTGACCGCGCCGTAGACTGATGTCTGGGCGGCGTTACTCCGACTGGAGGCACACCTTGATACTGCTTGTTGTCTGAGGGATGAGCCTCGGGAGCAGGAGTCTGAGCCTCGAGGTCCGGGGTAGCGGCAGCAGCAGCAGCAGCTCCCACAGGCTGCTCAAAGAGAGGCGTGGGCGTTGCCATGTTGGCGGGTTGTGATGTCGGAGGATCAATGTGTCTTGGTGGGTTGCGAACCGGTCCAAGTCGGTAGCTTGCAAAGTCGGGCAGGTCAGGGAGGACTTCTGAAGATCGAGTAGAAGCTCCAGCAATGTCGTGATCAGAGAACATGTGTACAACAGTGAAAGCAGCAGCAGGCGTATGAAAGTTATACGTATGTGGGTGGTGCCGACGGAAAGGGAAAAAAACGATGGCCAAGTGATGGCTGGCGGATCATTGGACCTACAAAAGGCGTTTTCAGCTACAACCTTACCGACGGTGTCGACTTGATTCGACCCCCGCCATCGAGCAGGCTGCAATTTGCCCTGAAGTCAGCGGGTCCAGAAAAGTGTCGCGCAATCCGCCATCTTGTGCAGCGGTATCCGCTCGATCTCGAGCCCCGAGTTAGAGATCGAGTCGACGTGGCCAGGGAGGCCTTGTCAACACAGCCTTGCGCGGCTGCAGGTCGGGCGTGAGCAGGGGTTGGCCAGGTACACAGCAGGACAAGTCGCGCGGTGAGTGGAGGATGCACGCATTCCGGGGCCTGCGATTGCGACACGCGATGAAATGACGACGGCGGGCACCCACTATTCTAGTCGAGACTGTCGAGTGCCGGGGCCTGGTTGCCTATAGCAAAATGCCGGCCGACATGGGTTGTGACGGTGACGGCTTCCTTCAGACGTGGCTGGCGAGAAGTTCGGCGGCGCGTTGACGTCTATTGTCGACACGCCATGCTGGTCCTCTCGAGACGTTCGCAGGCCGTCGCATGCGGATGATCCAATTGTCCGTGTGCACACGGGATCCACGACGTCCGTCGTCCGGGTGGAGCTGCTCTTGCTGTGATACGGCCAGAGTTCCACGCCACAAGGCTGGTAGCGACGTCGACCTCATCAGCACGGAGAGAGGTGGCGTGGAGTGGTGGTACAGACCGAAACGAAGACGGGGGAGTGTGGTAAGAGTCTAATTAAGTCGGCGCGTGAGACAGGACACGCTCATGTTGGCGACTCATGCGATGCATAAACATAGAACACGCGAAAGAAATAGAGGTGGGGTGGGATTGGGAATGTGTAGGAGGAAGAAACCGGTGCGGGAACAGCCGGCGGCGTGATCTCCGTCGAATTTGGCGGGCGCCTGTTCAAAGCCTGTTCAATTCGCCTCGCAATTGGAAAAGTTGGACGTGTCTCAAGAAGATCGTCGACCTCCGCGAGCACCGACTCGTTCAAACGTCACACCACCATCATGGCGACGGGCAAAGCAGCGCGCATGCCGAGCCTGATCTATGGCACGGCATGGAAAGCTGACGGCACCAGAGTGTTGGTCGAGCAGGCCATCTCCAACGGCTTTCGCGGTATCGATACTGCCGCACAGCCAAAGCACTATCAGGAACACCTGGTAGGCGCGGGCATCCGTGACGCCATCGAAGCTGGAAAGACGCGCCGTGAAGATCTCTACCTGCAGACCAAGTACACTTCAGTCTCGGGGCAAGATCCCAGACAGATGCCGTACGATCCCAAAAGCAGTCTCGCCGATCAAGTGAATGCGTCGGTGGCAAGCTCGCTGCATAACCTTCGACATAATACCGGACACGCATCGAGCCCAGCTTACCTCGATTGTCTTGTTCTCCACTCTCCACTTTCCACCATGGCGAGGACGCAGGAGGCGTGGAGAGCGATGGAGACGCATGTTCCTCACGCCGTCAGGACGCTCGGCATTTCGAACTGCTATGACCTACCCGTGTTACAGGCCCTTTACGACTCAGCGACTGTGAAACCGTCGGTGGTTCAGAATCGCTTCTACGCCGACACTGCCTACGATCCTGACATCAGACATTTCTGCAACGAAAAGGGAGTCGTCTACCAAACCTTCTGGACTCTGACGGCAAACCCACGACTGCTGAAATCGGAGCCTGTTGCGTTCGTTGCAGATCGTGTGAACGTGAGTAGAGCTGTCGCTCTCTACGCCTTGGTGCTGGGTCTGGGCAATGTGCGAATCCTCAATGGCACCAAGAATCCCAGCACCATGGCAGAAGACCTGGCTGGTGTGGAAGCGGTGAAAGGGTGGAGTGCCACGCAGAGGAGCGATTGGGACAAGGCGCTGGAAGCATTCACGTCTTTGCTACGATGAGCTGGCGACGTGCAACGCTCCGATCACAAGCACAATTTCCCTTCCTCGACTCTCGTGCAGCAGACCACCTATCTATTCAATGAGATGAAAATTCTGGTGGTTCACGTATCCACCATCTCTTGTTGACAGCTGCCGAAAACTCAAAATTTGCCAAGGTCGTCGCGGCGTGTTGTGAAGGAAGCACAGCACTTTGACAGCCACGCCTTCGGGAGGCATGGTATGGTGCAATTTGCATCCACAAACGACACTTATCACGCACTCGGCCTGGGCCTGAGCGAAGATCCGTGCTGTTGTCGCGCGTGCAAAACTGGAAGGAGCGGTCTTCGGCCATCATCATGGTTACCGTACATCCTCACATCCAACCCTCGATTCGACACATCAGACTTCGCAGCTCCTCCATCAACACCATACAATTCCCCACGACCAGAACTCCGCAGTCCGTCGTATTCACGAGCCGTGGAAGTGGGAGCTCTCTGTCACCAACTCTCTCGCAGGGATCTCGCTGCTTCGGCATAGAATACTTATTACACCTTGTCAGCCACACCGCCCAGCAACGCAACGCAACGCAACGCAACGCAACGCAACGCGAAAGAATGGCGCGATTCTACCTGGTTCATCAGCAGCACAGACAAATGCTGCGTCCAGCCAGCACACACATCATTGAACGCCTGCACGTCAGACTTCTCGAACGAAAATCCCGTGCATCCATCCCACCGCTTCTCCCGCCTTGCGTTCACCCAGCATAGAACTATTCTTGACATTGACAACTGCATATAATAACAAACAAACTTTGTTCGAATCTCCAGCCTTGCGTTCCCCCTCACAAAACAGCCAGCCAGCCAGCCAGCCAGCACAGACATTGTTGACAGATGTCAAGACTTTTTCCTCCCCCTCCCTCCCGGGCATGCCATCTCCAGCCTAGCGTTAAAATGAAACCTGCCTGCATG